CAAGAGAAGGTTGAGAGGCGACCTCATGGTTGCCTATAAGTTCATCACGGGGGCACAGAAGGGAATTGGTGAGTATTTATTCACCAAGGCGCCCCCGGGGGTTACAAGAAATAATGGCCATAAGCTAGCAGAGAGCAGATTTAGACTAGACATTAGGAAGAACTTCTTCACAGTTAGAGTGGGCAAGGTCTGGAACGGGATCCCAAGGGAGGTGGTGCTCTCCTCTACCCTGGGGGTCTTCAAGTGGAGGTTAGATAACCATCTAGCTGGGGTCATCTAGACCCAGCACCCTTTCCTGCCTATGCAGGGCAGTCGGACTCGATGATCTATTGAGGTCTCTTCCGGCCCTAACATCTATGAATCTATGAATATTCTGGGTACTGGGGATTTTGGGTAATGTATTTTGTAATCATCTTGCTTTGCCTACATTACCCTTACTTCCTATCCCTATGTATCAATAAAATTTGCCCACTATCACCGGAGAAACTGTGGTCAGTCTGAAAGTTGTGCTCACCTGGAACAAGGCATCAAGACTGTGTTGTAAGGCATCACCCGAAACAAGGCATCAGGACAGTGCCTACATAGACCACCATGAATGGTGCATGCCTCCAGCAGCTGGGGGGACATGGCAGCAGTGGGAGCACAGAGGTAGTAAGTGGGGGAGCTCCCACAGACACCGCTGGTGCTGTCGGTGGGGTGGGAGAGGGGAGCGCCGACCAAGGGCCGGTGACCACCCGCAACCACTGCCGGCAGCGTTGGTGGTGGCCAGTGGGAATCGCGGACTGCTTGCAGATGCCGTTGGCAGTGTCAGCGGCGGGGAGGGCGAGCAGCAACCGCCCACAGGCACTGCTGACAGTGTTTGTGGTGCCTTTTTGCAATGCTCAGGTGGTGCACATGCACCGCCTAGGTGTCACCCCTGTGGACCACCCTGTCTGGGTTGACACAACAGCTCCCAACTAGGAGCAGCCACAGGGTTGCTGGTGCCATGTGGGGCAGGTACCCTGGACCACCGCGTGCTGTATGGTGGCTTCTGCCAACCCCCTCTCCACTATGAAGCTGAAATTGGTTCCTTATTCCCAGTGCCTTACTCCTGATTCTGGCAGCTAGGGTGGTACAGGTTCAAGATTCACAACTGACAGCCAACTGGCTGCCAAGTTCAAGACCACAATAGAAGCTCATGCTGTGGCCTGTTAGATTCTACTGAATCTGCGATTTCTGCTAAATACTTTCTTACAAAGAGATGGAAAAGGACTCCTGGTTCCTTTTTCAAACCTAATCTTTACACAAGCAAAGGTTGGAAGTAACAAATTAAACATGCTGAAGAGTTAGCATTTCATCAGAAATGTATATTTACTAATAAAAATGTAAAATAATATCATGTATCCAGTACATAGCTCTGAATAAAGACCTGAGATTAGGCTGGGATTATGGAGCAAAATCACACCTGTCTGCCACTGGGGGACTCTCCCTAAGAAAATGGGGCACAGCCCTGCTTGACCTGAAGCTTGATTTTTGAGTGCTAGTTGACACCCACCCTGTAAGGCCTGTGCATTGCTGTTCTACCAGGCACTGGATGGCAGTAAGAATGATTGTGTACAAATATAGGGGTTTTACACCAACTTGTCAAGTTTACCTCGTGCCCCCACCCACAAACTTGGGAAAGTAAATTTGAACTGGGTGTTCTAATGTTAAAAACCTGCCCACTGACAAGTAGATGTTAATTTAAACAGATTTATTACAAGGAAAAAAGGGAACAAGAGTACACCCTAAACAGAACCTCTATTAACTTTTAACTGTACCTCCAAATTGATCACATTCATAATCAGTGGCAAACCAACCAGGGAGCTGCCATCTAGCTCAGTCACTTGGGAAAAGTCTCACCCAGGGCTGCCATCCAGGATTTCCACCACTTTCACCAGTTTAGTAGGAAGCAATGGATAGGAAGGTCCACTCTAGAGGCCCTGTTGTTGCCTGCTGCCAAGGGTGGCCACCCTTCTCAGAGGTTTCTACCATCTATGACAGTCAAAGTAGCAAGGTCTGAATTTGAAGGTACAGTTATAGGATTTACTGTTACTCTGATGCTATAGAACAGTGCTAGAGTATGATGCTAGGGAGAACTGCTGTGGATGCCACCTCCAAGGGTCCCAATCACTCTGTCACAGGATGAGTGCCACCCCACTCTTTC